GCAAGAAAGTTCTGTATCAAATTTAATTGACTTTTTTTGTGAAAGCTTCAGATTTGTTTCGTGCCATAAACAATTTCCGGTAACTAGCCTGAGGGCACGTTTTCAAAATACTGAAGTGTTCTTATGTTTTATCTTTTTGAGTTGATTTTGGTCTTATTTTTAAAACCTATCAATCGTTGGTGAGCTCAACGCCTAAACTGCATCGGAAAGTATATATCACATTTTATTTGTGAAAGTGTATTTGCAGCCGGAAACTATTTATTCCATATAAACAAGATAATCGTGAAAGTGATAGTAATCATTTTTTTCTCAATAGTTTTTTGAACAAAAAAAATGTTTCCATCAAAAACTTTTAATTAGATTCTTCAGTGTCCATGTAATAAGTTTTTGCCTCCATATGAACATAATCGGAGTATAGTTGAGATGTTTTAGTCTAAAAATTTACCATGTATCGGCAAATGGAGTTGGTGTTAGCTAAGGTGTTTTTGTTTCTTTTCTCTCTCTCCCTTTTTCACGCTTTGATTCATTATATGATACTTGTTCTACTCGCTGTCTGTCATCGTACTAGGATGGTTTTTTGCATCAACATCCATTTTTGTCGTCATTGTCGTTGGTGATTGCAAAATCGATAACATGGGAAAATAATCCATGTGTTGAAAGCATTCGATGTTAGAAAAAAGAAATTGCAGATGTTTATACGAATCCAACAAATCTCTGTACGCACGCAAAATCGTCTCTCGAATTCTTTTTTTTTTTTTATTCTTTGCTCAAAGCCATATTCAGATTGAGTGCTAATGTTCGTCATCAAACAAAAAATCGCATATATACGCTATATACACACGTAAACACAAGAATTATACTGCCGATGGCAAAAAAAAAAATCGGTGGGCGACACACGACCAAAACACTGAACCGAAGAGAAAAAGTCAATTTTTGCCACGCCAGTGATGTGTGAATATTCAAATTGATAAGAAGGCCATGGCAACTTTAGGTTTTTTTTCTTTGAGTGATTGAAAACCCACTAGATGGAAGAATAATGATTTTGTTACGAGATACCAAGAAAAAAAAAACACGTACACACATATCAAAATCACCTTTGAAACTTCTGCTTCTTTGGCAAAAACAAATCTTCCTTATCTCCACGTGTGCCGTATGCTTTCGAATGATGGATAGTTTTTATCTTCTTTATTCTAAGCCGGCGAGTAAGTCTCGGATTATTAGCTAAACTTGTTCACTATGGTTACGAGAAATGGAGATAAAAGAACTACATCAACAAGACACGTATTGTGTTTAACATTTAATTGAGTGCCACTGCGTTGATGAAATCATAAATTAATAAATGTCATACGATGCATGTAGTTGTCTTTTGATGATATGACCCATTGTTGTTGGCTCGAAATTTGCAGTATTGTTTGGTCAGTGGCCGACAGTGATTATTAAGTGGCTTCCATAGCCCATTTAATGAGCTTTTGTTAAATGTGTATGAAAAATTTAAATTAAAAGTCGGTACAACGCACAGTCCATGTTCCAGTTTTATGTAAATACAGATGAAACAAACCAAACAAACACAACGTCGCTTGTTTATCTTTGTGCCCATTAACATTGTGCATTTAAATTACGTTATCCAACTTAAGCGGCTCGAATGCACGCAATTGCCCGAACAAAAGAGATAACCAACCGAAGCCACATCACCAACAAAAGTCGAAATTTTGGTCAAACAACCGAGGCTAATCATGATTCAGTGAAGCCACCCAAAAATGTTCGTTTTGTTTGTCATTGTGTGTGTGTGTGTGTGTGTGTGTGTGTATGCACACTATGTGCGTCACTGTTCTTTCTGCACTCATCGTCCATTTTATTCAGTTGAGAGAAAATCACATAGATAGAAAATGTGACAGAGAAAGAGAGATAGAAAATGAGATAAATCATTATATAATGAACATTATGTTCTGTGTTTATAAAATCTCTGAGGCCAAAGACCGACATCAAAACTATGGCTGGCTAAGACTTCGATGAAATTTTTTGGCTCGAAAAATTGATCTTTTTCTTTGTTTCCGGCACTAAAATGTGAAATTTTTGCAAGTTTTATGATATAATTAAAACAAAAATTCAGCGAGAAAAAAGTTCAAATGATGGAATCAAACAATTTTCATTTGGCTCGGTGTATTTTCAGCCAGCCACATTCAAAACAATACGCCTTTTATACGAAGTGAAACAACCTTAAGGAGACAGATTTCTGTCTCATTCACTCTAATTTCACTCGTTTAGTGCATTGAGACACAATCAAGATTCGAGTTGTTTTACCTGGGGAGCTGCTATCAAGAAACATATTCTTCGTCATTTTCTTCGCTTAAAAACCACACCCAAAGAATGAAGAGAAAATGAGAGAGAAAAATTAAAAGCAAAAAAGTACATCTTTTTTATCTCTTATTAGATGTTCAACTAAAACAAAAGAGCAATGAAAAAGAAGCGAAGAGAATGCAAAAATTAACATAAATCACAATAAAACTAAATGAAAAATGTGATTTTTTTTTTCATCAGTGTTCTGAGAATGATTTGAAACGTATTTTTTTCCTTTGTCCACGTTTTTAATGATACAAAACATATCCATTTTCATGGTAGTTTTGAAAATGTATTGCTCCATTATTTAATGCATACACACAAAAAATAAACCTGACAAATCATTTTAGGATTCCTATTAAAATATTAATTTGTAAGGTTTCCTTATAATATGGCAACATTTTATTAGGAAACCTTTAAATAATAAAACATGTTTTTTTTCAACACAGTGAAGTTGGCTTTGACGTTTAAGCGCGCCAATTTATCAGGATTCCTGTTAAAATATTGCGATTTTATAAGGAAACCTAACAAATTCATTTTTTAATAGGAATCCTAAAATAATTTGTGGGGTTTATCTCTTGTGTGTACAAATGGCAAATATCCAATCATTCAATAATAAATTGAATTAAAGTTGATCGATCGTACAATAAACTCGAAATCTATCTTTTATCGATGAACACGCTATTTTTTAAATGCCGGCACATCGATTGGTCGCTGTTTTACTGGTTGGACCGAAAATGTTGTTACAATTTGAATTAATTCGTATCGATTTGATTGAACGGCTAAATTAGGCAACCCATTTAATAGTTACTGTTTAAATTATTCGACTATTTAGCTATGTTAAAGAGGCATTTTCATTACATGTCATTAAATCAATATTTATTTTAACTAAAACACTGAAAACTCTTGTTTACCATTCTGTGGCGTAGAGCGAGAGAGAAAAAAGAGCATTCACATTGTTTTCTATTAGTTCCTGGGAAATAGTTTCTAGGATAACGTGATACAGTGAAGTTCTAGGAACTATTACATAAGCTGAAATGCGGCATCACTATGAGAGAAATTCAATTTTTTAAGTGGTTCAAAGAAATTTAAAAATTAAATTGTGATCGTTCTTTCGTTCGTAGGAATTGAAAAATAAAAATTTCAGTCCTACGAAAAAAAATCAGTTCTACGAAATTTTATTTCTATTGCCTACGAACGAACGTTCGTAGCCAACAGTATTTTTGAGTGAAATTTCTTCAGATTTGGTGAGATTATGTACTATGGTAAGAAAATAAATTTAACAACTTTCCACGGTGATTACGTTACTACAAACAATTACTTTAGAAAGAAATCTGATCAACTTTGAATCAAAAAAATGCAATAAATGTATGTTCGCAGTAATTTAATCATCATAAAAACTTGTGAATCTTATTTTCTTTCCAAAATACATGAATTTTTGGCTCAAAACCGAAAATTTGGTATGAAGATACCCCTAATATGCATTGTTTCTTTTGGTTTCTTCTAGTTTCTTTTAGTACACAAACAAAAACGCAAATATTCTGCTAGTATTTCTAGTATTGAAGTGTGAAGACATTTATACGGAGAACAATAAAAACCATTATTCTCACTGAACGCAAATATTTCGTTTACAAAAATGTACCGTTAATCTCATCATAAGAAAAGTATTGGCAATGTATTTTGTATGGATTGGTCGAAGTGGGTCGAAGAATCAATATGAACATTTGTTCACAAATATTCTTTTAGTAAATTCTAGTATACTTTTAGTTTTGTATAGTAAAAATTTGTGTCTACCCCCTAGATCGGGCGATAATGAGGGGAGAGAAATGGAAAGATCATCAACTCTTGAGGTCCATAAAAATGCTTGAGATGAGAGCTCACGTAGCACATTTTTCGAAACTAAACATCGAAAAGAATTTCTTTTTTTAATAAATTTGGATTCGTCTATCTTTTTTTTAATATAGCCGGGAAACGAATGAGTAATTTTGCAAAAAAAAAAAAAACAAATATTCCGGTATCTACCAATCTAATTTGAAAATGTATAATACAGTATTTGAACTAAAATTAATTGCTTGTTTATTCAGAAAATTGTGGCTATGTATAAGCGAGTGTGTTTGTGACTCATAACAAGAGCAATAATATACTACTGTCATCCCATTTCACAATTTTAAAATGAACTATAGATTGGGACATAGTAATGCCCAAAGCATTTGCGTCGTTATGATAATTGATTTGTTATATAGATAACCAATCAATGAAATAGAAACGCATTTCAATTTTGTATCCTAAAATGTATAAATGTATAAATGTATAGTGTTGCGAATGTAACCCGTGTGGAAAAAAGTGACTAACTGACTGACTGGTTAGCTGAAATCGACTGAAATTGTTTTTTTTTTTTACTGAAGTCGTCTATGTATATCATTTTAAACAGATGACTAATTTGGGACGTTTTTGTCTATATAGTGAACTGCGATTGAAGTTGAATTAAGTTGTATTGACTGAAAAATCATCCAAATCAACTTAAAACAACTTCAATCACAGTTCACTATATAGACAAAAACGTCCCAAATCAGTTATCATATCAGAGGATATCCACGCGATAAGGATGATCAAGTTTCAAATAAGAAATGCACACGTTGCTGACGTTTGTGAATTCGACTTACCTGTTTTAACTAGTTTGAATGTGACATTGTTATGCGATTTAATGGTTTCATTGAATGTAATATGAGTACAATCTTTTAAAATTCCTGATGAGGTAGCCATTATTCGTGTAGTGGTCGTGGTTTGAAATGACGGGTATTCACTAAAATTATTTATATAATTGTTGCTGCTGCAAGAGGTGCCCGACAAGGCACCTCCACTACGCCAACTGTTGAATAGACTACGACTTGTTTTTGGGACGTTGTCTATAACATATTTTGAGTGCATTCGTTGTTGTTGTTGTATTCCGTTGACGCATTTTGACCGAAGATCCGTTTAGATATTGTTGTTGTTGTTGAGTGTTATAGACAGAAAAAGAGCATCATGGTGTGTTAGTTTTTCCCCCACAAAGCACATAACATCGTGTTTATGATGACAACGGCAAACATACCCCAGATGCAGCATTGATAAGCCAAAAAGAAAGATTTAAAGACAGAGAGAGAGAGAGCACAAAAAACGAGAACGAAAAGAGAAAAAAGAAAATGGTATTTTTAGTTATATTATTACACACTGAGTGGATCATGTATTAGTTTCATGAAATGGGATAAAATACACACGCAAAAACACAACCAAAACGAACAAAAGACCAAAAGAAAGTGTTTTCACAAACATCAGTTTTATGTTTTTGAAGCCATTGAATTTTCATCAAATTTTGGGTTTGATTTAGTTACTCTTATAAACTACTTAAATTAGTATATTTTGTGTTATTTTCCATCGAAAATTTTAGAAATGTCTTTAACATTATTATTAAACCAACCAACTGAAGATATTCTACGAGAAAATAAGCTTTTTAATTATGATTCATGTGGCGTTTTGACATTTAATGTATGTACACATTAAATTAAGAAAATAGAGAGAGGGAGATTGCTGTTTTCATGTTTATACTTGGTTTTTTTTTTATTTCTTCTTCAAACTCAAATACACATCCGGCAAATGGGTTAAAGAAAATAATGCGTAACTGTTGCTTTTTGTCAGTTACTTTTATTCTTGAATTATTTATACGTATTTTATTTATTCATAAGACGTGAGCAAAAGACGTGCATACAGTAAAAATTGTTTGATTCAAAAGCATTCGGGGTAGAGATGTATTTGATGGTAATGGTATGGCAAAAAAAAGAGTACAGGAATCGAATGAATAAAAACAAAGCAAAACAATGTGGAAAAAAACGGCTTCATTTTTATACCGCCTACACAACAACAACTGTTTACGATACGAATTTCAATGTTTATGTAGATCTACTGCTGTTGCTACTCTTCAAAGCTCCTCTACATTGGATGTGGTCGATTTTTACCATTAAAAATATGTAAACTTTTACGCGTTGCACACAACGGCGTCAAGTGTGTGGTAGGCAACCCCCATTGTTTCGATACATATACATACAGGTGGAAGCAGAAAGAAAACAAACGCACAGCGTTCATACAGTACGAAACTTTAAAACTGCAGGCAATTTCATGCTGCCATTTTACGCCATGTATTTATTTGGTTTTGAATTTTTTTTACAAAGGTATACTTAAGCTTCCAAAGCTTTGCATTCCAACCGGAAACTGAATTAAACAATAGACCTGCAACACCTTTACCCAATCGATATTTAAATTTAGATTAAAGTGAACTAATATAGTGCTTGGCGGTTGCTTGTACGATCATCGTTCACTTGAAATGCTGACTTTTTTTTTAAATGAGCACTTGTATTACGTGAGGCCTCCATTTACAAAAAGGTTCAAAGCATTCAAATGATTTGCCGTCACAATTCATTTTTAAGTCAATTGAACAAACGAATACATTCATTTGAATGTTAACATGTGTGCCGACTCGACAGTGCCGTGTGCGAGCGTCATGCCAAACAAAATGAAAATTATTCACTCATAAAAGAAACATATTTTTGACATTAAATTTACCGACCAAACGTAATACAGCTAATTTTAATATCACATCACATTTTGAGCACACAGTATGTGTCGTGTGGGTGTGTGTATGGAGTTTCATTATTCATATATATTCTCCTGACACTGCAAGTCTACATATTGCTCATTGCGATCCGGTTCCATGGAGTACCTCCATATGCGATGGCTGCGATTCACTGTTCGCGTTTTTCATGCTATTTTTCGGCATCAGTTCGCTTTCTATCACTTGTCGAATTCAGTTTTTATATAAGTATGTATTTTGTGTTATTTACCCGTTTCACGGGTTTCTATACAATAATTGCAATGTTCCATCTTTGCACCGCTGTTTACTCTTGCGTATTTTAATATTTCATAAACATAAATTTCAAATTAAAACAATAATGAATGATGAATTCATACATACCATATATACACACATAAAATACTTGTGTACTTGTGCATCCATATTCTCTTCATACATACACGAGAGCGTTATTCATGATTCAAAAATCACGAAAAGCATACAGAATTACAAAACCAGAAGAAAAAAAACGTTGCGATGGACGTGTGCACGTATTTCAGTGTAACATTGTGTTTTTTTCTGAACGCTGTTAAAAGTGATGGCGCAAGGTGTGCAAAAAAGAAACACAATAGCATATGACGGAGATTGTCGACAACAAATTCCATGTTGGCTGAATTGTCAGAACGTTCATTTTTCAACTATTCAAATCACTATGTATATATTTTATGAATTCGGAATGAGAGAAAGATAGAGAGAGCAAAAATACACGTATTATTATCTAATTCAATGGTGTCTTGTTCAGAATTTAGCACAGTTTACTGGATGCAATCACTGCCATAGATAAATTCATGAACTGTTAAACGAACTCATCCCCGATCATTCACATCGTCATTCAAATGCGTAATAAATCATTCGGTACAAATATACATGCTATTATTGATTCATTTCATCGATGTTATTGTTTCGCTTGTTCGCATATAAATTGAACATTTATGCACGCTTAGGTATTTCAATTGTTTTCAATTCTATTATTCAGCATATTTACTCTACTCGTTCTCATCATTCCCGGATTATCTCGACATAGATAGAATGGTATTTAAATGATATCGATTGAAGTGCCACTGATTTTCTTAAGCAATATGGTCCGAAAAATTAACGATGTTTTGATCTCTTTATCTCTCTCACTCTCTCCATATATCGAATTTCCTAGCATTTTTTGAAATTGGCGCAACTTAGGTGCTTAATTTGTACAAACAGCTGCTTCAAAATATCTTGAAGCAAAAAATTAAAATGATTTTCTTATACCACACCTTCCGCTTGAATAATGTCTTGTATCACCATGACAAAGTATGATTAATTCCATATTGTCATTCCAAAACATTCATGTAAAATATCAGATATCGTCCGCTTGCTTTTCGAAAAAGCACATGTCTTAAGTCTACTTTATTTTAAATGAATCGTTTTTGTCATTGTTTCATTCATCTGCTCGGCACTCAGGCTTACTCTCATTTTATTAAAGTTTAAATGTGTACGAGAATTTATGTACAGTTTGAAGTTTCAATTCTTTCTTCTAAATATTGTGTAGCCCCATAATACCACAATGTGGATGGTATATTATAAGCTTTGTACCACACCGAAATTATGCTCCATAAGAGACTGTATAAAATGCAAAACTGTGGCACTGCTAGCGCCACTATGGACAACTATGAAGGTCTAGTCTGTTGTTTGCAACTGAGCAAAAGTCTTTTCACTATTTGGTGGCAAATTAGTGTAAATAACACTGAATTCCGTCGTGGCGCTAGCAGTGTGACAGTTTGGGTAAAATTTCGGTACGCTTTGTACCAAATGTAATGTGTATTGTTGTGCCTAGATGGTAAAATACCGTAAGCTAGACTTTGCATTTCTATATTTGGACGTAGGAAGTTAATGTGTGTATAAAGAGCATACAAATTTCCGTGTTGTTTTAGGAAGGACATTTTCGGAACTTCAACAACTGTATCTTTGTATTTTGCTGTAATTACGTGCATTTTAATGTGGAAAGCAAAACGCTTTCTTCTCTTTTTGATTTTTTTATTTCGAGAAAACACAGTGTGCAAGAAAAGTATTGCTTAATCACACCTGCTGCTCAGAATACTGCTGCTCGAACTACTCTGAAAAGCTTACTATTGTGTCGAAACAAAAAGAAACAATAGTGTAAAAACTTTTGAGAACTTCAGTAGAAAACTCGGAGAAATGTTTATTTTGGACACAAAAGTGCTAAGGGGTAGGTACAAACTAGAAAACAAAAAAAGCTTAGAAATATTAGGACTTATTAGGTCCTGTCAAATGTACAAATTATATGCGATTTATTAAAAAAAATTGGGAAAAATTAGCAATATTTTAGCCCGTGCCTCACCCCTAGCAAAAATGTCATTTAACAATTCTATATAAAACAAGCCGTTCATGGATACATCATTTACCATAGTAATAATGTCGAAATTTGACTTAAAATTATCAAAAAATGGAACGTTGGTTCCGGAAATTGCTAAAAATAAACACTTTTTGAGTTTATTTTGATTGAAATTTGTTCATATCAATGCTTTCGTTTGAATTCATTGTGAGCTTAAAAAGTTAAGCCATTTGCTTTGATAAATGAAACGGTCGGATAAGAACGGTGTAGAAAAGTTGATCTTACCAATATAAAACCTGGTTTATTTTGTCGGCATAAAGTTTTTTTTATATCGAAAATGAACATTGTTTACCACATCAAGATAGAAGTTTAAACGTGAACTAAAACTAAAAGGATGATGCTTTGCACACGCCACATTCCTAACCATGTTTAAGCATTGAATCAACATCTGTACAAAATAATATAATGTTGACTTTGTATGGCATTTTCTCGCTTTTATTTTGGCACTTTCTTAACATTCTTAACATTCTTCACATTAATCAAATTAGGAAGTTATTTTTATTCATCTAATTTTTGTGGTGGCCAGTATTTTTAGCTGTATTATTTAACCATGTTTCTTTATGGATGATTCCCATTTGGGCGACCTTACACAATACCAAATGTGTTATAGACGTTTTGGTCACTGCAAAAATCGAATTTACTTCATTCAGGCCTCAACACACACACACACCGAATACAAACAGATTAAACACACGCATATGGTCATAAATTGCAATTTCAGATTTAATTACAAAACCGACGAATGAACGATACATTGAAATTGAAGCTGACATTCTTGGAATTTGTTTGGCTGCATTATTATGGAAATAATTTCAGAAGCATTTCGTGAATGTTTTTACTTCTGAAGATGGATG